CCACACCAGCCGGGTTGTTTGGACTTTTGAGCTGGTGGGAGACCTAGGCTGGTGGATGTCTGGGCCGTGCTGCCTTTTCTGTCACCGCCGTAACTCTGGCAACAGCCTCGCTCTGTGCAATAGATTGCCGTTGATGTCAGACGCTTTCCACTGCCCTGGTCTGCTGGTTCGGGTCGTGTATCAAGTTGGCAGCTAATTTTCCCCAAGCCTGTGCTGGGAACTGGCTCAGAGGCTGCGCCTGCAGTCATAAAGCACACGGAGTCCGCTTAAATGGCCATCATCTCTCCTCTTGATGTACATGAATTGCTGCGGCTTTCCTGAGAGCAATCTCTTGCTCTCACGAAAAGTCCTGTGCGTCGCCCACACAGACCGGTTTCGTGGCTTTGCGTGCTCTCTTTTCTCTGGGCATTTTGACAAAACTCAGTGCATTAGCCATGTTCCTGTGAGTGTTTTCGAGCGGTTGAGTGTTGCCCTGGCCGGTCTGGCTCAGTTGGTGGAGCATTGTCTCATGCACCGAGAGATTGCAGCTTCGATTCCCAGTTAGGACCGAGGTTGCAGGCTGGATCGCCAGTGGGGGACATGAAGGAGGCGAATGATGGATATTTCTCTCTCTCATCAATGTTTCTTTCTCTTTCTTCCCCTTCTCCTCTCTCTGAAATAGATAAAAGCATATTATAAAAAAACTAAAAAAATAAAAATAAAAAAAAGTAAATGAAGTGCTTGGCTGTTTGTGAATCTACCTTGCTCCATGGATCAAAAATGAAGATGGCCCTAACCGGTGTGGCTCAGTGGGTAGAGCGTCGGCCTGCGGACTGAAGGGTCCCAGGTTTGATTCCAGTCAAAGGGCATGTACCTTAATTGCAGGCACATCCTCAGTAGGAGGTGTGCAGGAAGCAGCTGATCGATGTTTCTCTCTCATGGATGTTTCAAACTCTCTATCCCTCTTCCTTCCTCTCTGTAAAAAAAAAATAGTAAAATATATTTAAAAAATGGAGATTACTGAAGATATATCATTGCTTCCTTGACAATCTTTGAATTGTCTTTCCAAAATAGCCCTGACTGGAAATCGAACCGTGACCTTCTTGTTCACAGGTCAAGCAATATAGTATCTTCTTAACAAGACCAGCCATCAAATAAGTCCTGATGATCTTGTGTGGTAATTTTTTTTTTCAGGTGGGGGGTGGGGAAGAGGGCCCAAGCAGTTATCTAGGGTGTTAAGCAAGTTGTGAAAACAAGACATGTTGAAATGATGAGCAGATGAAAATGTCAACATTTTCAAAGGCCAGGAGGAAAATTCAATTTGCGTTCCATCCTGTCCTTGGCAAACAGTCATTTTCCTCTCGCTCTGTTTTTCCCGTTAATCACAAACGAATGTGGATGCGGCTTCTTTACGTCTTTGATCTGCTTGCTCATTGCCATTCACGCAGCTCTGGGGCTGGGCTTTCATTTCCTTTGGATGAATGTCTGGGCGGCTGTGCAGCAAAGTAATCGTGAAGTGCAATAAAAGTGATTCAGTGGTAGAACTGAGTCTGTGGGGAATCTCTCTCTCTCTCTCTCTCTCTCTCTCTCTCTCTCTCTCTCTCTCTCTCTCTCTTCTCGGTTGCAGAGACTTATAATCCAGCTTGAACTAAATTCTTTCTGTTCTAAGAGACCAGATGCTATGAATTTTCTTACATTACTTAAAAAATAACCCAATAAATGTTCAACCGTAACTCCCACATGGAGAAAGTGACAGATGACAACCATCTACTCAGAGAAGTAACAACCTCAAGATGGTCGTCGAATGGATTATTCCACTTGTCCGTTGTTTATGTAATTGGTTAATTGGGTGAGTCATCATTTGGAGATAAGGAGCTAAAATAAAACTTATAAAAAAGGCTTAGGCTACTCAGAAACAGTGCTTAAAGGAAGAAAACACTACCGAGGTTAAGACAGTCCCTGATGCTACAGGATTCTTATCCCTCCGGTTAAGAATTGTGGGACAATCCTGTGATGCAGGTTCTAACCAAGAATAGGCTTGGTGAGAACCTGAATGGTTCATGATAAGAGATTTTACTATTGAAGGAAGTGGGACTGCACATTTACAGACACACAGAGAGAGGTATCCTATATAATAAAAGGCTAATATGCAAATTAACCAAATGGTGGAATGACCAGTTGCTATAATGCACACTGACCATTAGGGGGCAGATGCTCAATGCAGAAGCCAGGCTCAAGGCTGGAGAGTATAGCCCCAGTGGCAGGGGCCTCTCTTTCCTCTGTGGCAGGGCTAAGCATGTCTGACTGTAGGGAGTGAGCCTAAGTCGTCAGTGGGACATTCCCCGAGGGCTCCTGGACTGCCAGAGGGTGCAGGCTAGGCTGAGGGACCCCCCCCGCCCCCCAACTGCAGTGCACGAATTTTATGCACTGAGCCTCTAGCAAATGTATATTTACATAATAGGCATTTTTAAGACCATAAATCTAAAAGTATATTAGGTTGAACTATATGAAACCTTTTGTTCAACTTTCAAGAAATTTATCCCATGGTGGATACCAAAGTACAGTTTTGTAGTGAAGCGCATGGGTTCCGAGTCACATTTCCGGGTTTGTCCCTGGGCACCCTCATTGATTTGCTACATGTCCTTCAGCAAGTGGACCCGGAATAATTTTATTATAGTGACATTAATAGATCCAGTGTAAATGTCTGTTCTCTTGGGTAGATTTATGCAAAATAGCCTGAGAAATCTTAAGACACTGTGGTGACATTTTGACTTTGAGCTTTTAAGCAAACATGTAAAAACATATTTTTTTCCAGTGCTTTTGTTTTCTCATGTGAAAAATGGGAATGATAGGGATTCCCACCTCCAAAGCTTAAGAATTAAAGAATAAATGTGCTCGTAAAATGCTTAGCACAATGCTTGGCACACAGTGACTTTTCTTTTCTTTCTTTCTTTTTTTTTTTTTTTAAATATATCTTATTGATTTTTTACAGAGAGGAAGGGAGAGATATAGAGAGCTAGAAACGTCGATGAGAGAGAAACATCGACCAGCTGCCTCTTGCACACCCCCTACCGGGGATGTGCCCGCAACCAAGGTACATGCCCCTGACCAGAATCGAACCTGGGACCTTTCAGTCCTCAGACCGACGCTCTACCACTGAGCCAGACCGGTTTCGGCAACACAGTGACTTTTCAATAAATGCTACCTGATAGCATCTTTACATCATGAGCAAAGGATGTCAGCTATTGTGAGATTTGATGGATTAGTATTACTGTTCATTTTAATGTTAGGGTCAGATTTATTCCTTGGGTGGGGGGATTGGCTTTGGTAATGCTCTCTAAAATACCCCTTTCTTGATCTTGTATGCATATATACATGGCCCATGGACACAGACAATGGGGTGGTGAGGGCCTGGGGCTGGGGGGGGGGGGCTGGAGGGGCCGATGTGGGGGGGAAAAGGGGACATATGTAATACTTTCAACAATAAAGAATTATTTTAAAAATAGATATATTTTATCTTAAAAAAATTATTACTCTTCACGTTTTCCCCAAGGTCCTGCTCTTAGAGCCTACACTGACTTCTGATCCATCACCCCAGAACATTTTCTTCCCCAGTTTCTCTCTTCTTTAGCTTGTTTTTTTCCACTGCTGGCCAGGTGCATCTTTGTGAACTTGAAAAGTGCCGACTCATGACTTATTCGTTACTTCAAAGCCATATGGTCCATTTTATCATCATCGGCATCCAACTTATCTGACCTTCACCACTTTATTCAAAATTCAGGCAGTCAGAAGCAAATGCATTTATTTCATCTCCTCACACGTTTGCTTAGAAGCTCAAAGTCAAAATGTCACCACGGTGTCTTAAGATTTCTTAGACTATTTTTGCATAAATCTACCCAAGAGAACAGACATACACCCTGGATCTATTAATGTCAGTATAATAAAATTATTCCGGTTCACCTTGATAACAATAAATATTCATAGAAGTTTCTTTCATTTTAAAAAGAGATCTGAGATTGGAAATTAGCCTGTCCCCGGAGCTTTCTTTTGAAACAGATGTTCTGTCCATCCAGTTGAATGTTAACTCAAAGACATATCAGAAAAAAAACACACCAAAAAAACCTCTTTGAAATCAAATTTATTTTGATTTTTAAAAATATACTTTTATTGATTTCTGAGAGGAAAGGAAAGGGAGAGAGAGAAACTTTAATGATGAGAGAGAATGGTTAATCAGCTGCCTCTTGCACGCTCCCTACTGGGGATCCAGCCCTCAACTGGGGCATGTGCCCTGACCAGGAATCGAACCATGACCTCCTAGTTCATAAATTGATACTCAGTCACTGAGCTACACTGGCCAGGCTGTTTCATTCTTATGGGTGAATCAGCACTTCAGAGGGCTTCTCTGACCCTGTTCTTTCTCCCCTTATTCTTTGTCTCACTGATTCGATCTTCATTCATTCACCATGAATCTGAATGTCTCTCTCATCAAGATTTCCTATACCTTCCATAGGAAGCACTGGCATTGGTAAATATATTTCATCCTGAGAGTGTTTGTTAGAATTTTAGCAGTCTGTAATCCTCTTCTCTTTCTCTTTGTACTTCCAGGCCATAACCTTCGGTAACAGAACGAATCAAGCCAGTCAGCAAGCTGCCAGTTCCTGCCAGCACCTTGTTGAGGAACCCAGCTGGACCCATTTCTAATCAATGCACCCCCCCTCCCTCCAACACATAACCTCTCTGAATCTCTGAAGGAGACAGACCAGGATTGGAAAAATTTCAGACTTCCAATAGACATTGAGTGCAAAGGATCCTTAGGTTTGCCTTGCACAGATCTGCTCTAGCTGAGGGACACAGGGGGAGAATACAGGTGTTATTTTCACCTAAGAAGTCACACAAACACATTCTACATTTAAGCCTCTGCACAGAGGATGGATGATGGTTATTGAAACAGCCAGAACGTAGAGACAACGGTGCCCAAGGCATAGCTTGAGAGGCGACCACGCAGTTTGCGAAACCAAAGAATGGATGCTTACAAATATCAGGACAACTATGAGGGCTACGCCCACACGGATGGCTACTATCCCGGCAACGAGTCCAACCCGGAGGAGGATGCCCAGAGTGACGTCACCGAAGGCCACGACGAGGAGGATGAGATCTATGAGGGGGAGTACCAAGGCATCCCTCACCCGGATGATGTCAAGACCAAGAAGGCCAAGATGGCGTCCTCCAGGGAGGATGACTTTCGGGCCCAGGCAGACCTGATGGCGGAGAGGCTGGAAGATGAGGAGCAGTTGGCTCATCAGTACGAGACCATCATGGACGAGTGTGGCCATGGACGCTTCCAGTGGATCCTCTTTTTCGTCTTGGGTTTGGCCCTGATGGCTGATGGGGTGGAGGTGTTTGTGGTGAGTTTTGCCCTGCCTAGCGCAGAGAAGGACATGTGTCTGTCCAGTTCCAAGAAAGGAATGCTTGGTAAGTGGAAATTTCCAAAGAGCCTTCTCTTCCTGGCGTTGAAATACGAAGGGGAAAGAACAGTACGTGTATGTAGCACCTGTCAGTGTTAGGCACCTTAAATCTGTCATAATATCCTTTCAACATCATCACTGGACACACAGTTTGCCATGAAGGTGTTTTTTATCTTAGAGAAATTAATCGATTGGCTCACATTTAGACAGCTGATGAGAATCGGAGCTTGGAATTCTACTCAGTTTTGTTTGATACTTAAGCTCTTAGTTCTTTTTTGTTTTTGGTTGCTGTTAATCCACACCCGAGGATCTTTTTCCATTGATTTTTAGAGAGAGTGGACAGGAGAGGGAGAGACACAGAGAGAGAGAAGCATTGATGTGAGAAAGAGACATCAATTGATTGCCTTCCATATGTGCCCTTGACTGGAATCAAACCCAGGATCCTTCAGTCCTCAGGTTGGCACTCTACCTACTGATCAAAAATGGCGAGGGCAAGCTCTTAGTTCTTTTTCCAAATCTTGTGCTCTCCTTGAGAGTCTGAGTTCCCTCTCCTTCATATTAATGTGTATATATTTTTATTCATTTCAGAGAGGAAGGGAGGGGGAGAGAGAGATGGAGACATCAACGATGAGAGAGAATCAGTGATTGGCTGCCTCCTGCATGCCCCTTCCTGGGGATGGAGTCTGCAACTGGGCATGTGTCCTGACTGGAAACCACACTGTGACTTCCTAGTTCATAGGTCAGTGCTCAACCCCTGAGCCATGCTGGTTGGACTCTCTCTCCTTCATACTAAACCATTTTCCATGCCCAAGTGACAAATACGTTTTGTGAATGGCAGGCCAAGATCTCTTCTACACTGTGCTTTCCTCTGTGTCCTTCCAGAATCTACTCGGCTGCTGGTTTCTCTTGTGTGCAAGTGTGAGTCTGCCCAATGCTCACATGTCTTGGGAATAGATGCTGGGCTGAGCCCACCCATGGAGGCCTGCAGGCTGTTGAGAGTCACGTGGTGAAGCACAGATGGATTCTGTAGGGTAGAGGCCCAGCTTTGCAAATCAATGAGGCGAGCACCCTCAGAGCCAGTGTCATCCATCAGGTCTTGATGCAGGGAGGATTTTGTGAAATTTTAGAAAGAACTGGCAGAGAAGAGATTCATCAGAATATGGATAAGGATTTGTCCTGGTCATTAAATGTCCTGCAAAACCCATTGGTTCTCCAAATGTAGAGGCTATGCAATGGATCCTTTAACAAACCTAAGTTATTGAAAGCTTACTAGGTGTCAGGTTCTGACTCAGGACTGAAACCTACTTAATGGCCTCCAAGAACTAAAAATCTATCTAGCAACGTAGTTTAGTCATTCAACAAATATTTGCTACTTGTATTCCATGTGCTCATCTCTGTGTTCAGCCCCTGGGGAGAAAATAAGGAACTAGACAGACACAATCCTTGCCTCTCAATGAGCTTACATAGAGCAGATATTAACAAACACAGAGACTTATGACAGGCTATGAAATACCTGTGCTATTCTGGTCCCCACTACTTGCTTTCTAGCAGTGGTGGCAAACATGTTTTCTAAAATAAATATTCTAGGCATTGTGGGCCCAGATGGTCTCTGTCACCACTAATCAACTCTTCCTTTGTAGCACAAAAGCAGCCTTACACAATATGTAAACAAAACTCACCACAATACATTAGTACCTGTGTTCTAATAAAACTTTATTTAAAAATATTTTAAAAAAATATATTTTATTGGTTTTTTTACAGAGAGGAAGAGAGAGGGACAGAGAGTTAGAAACATCGATGAGAAAGAATCATCAACCAGCTGCCTCCTGCACACCCCACACTGGGGATGTGCCCGCAACCAATGTACATGCCCTTGACCAGAATCGAACCGCAGGCTGATGCTCTATCCACTGAGCCAAACTGGTCTTGGCTAATAAAACTTTATTTATAGAAAAAGACAATGGATAGTACTTATCCTAGAGGCTTTAGTTTGCTGGCCTCTGATATAGAGTCATTACAAATAAAATTAGGATATAAATTTTTAAATCTGCATAAAGAATTATTCCTGGAGGGAAAAGGCATTGAATATACACAACCAGAAGAAATGAATTGAGAAGGAAGGCTGTCAACTGGAGCTTTTAAGCACCAACACAATTTTATTAGTTTTTTGGTTATGGTTTGTTTATTTATTTTTAATCTTCATCCCAGGATATTTTTTTCTCTTTCATTTTTTCTTTTTCTTTTTTTATTTTAGAACAGCACCCTAGTATGGGATTAGGTGCAACAGAGCCCTCTTGTGGAAGTTCTGAGAATAGCATGATAGTGAGGCATTAGATGCAATAAGGTTTTCAAACACTTTCCTAAATAATGAGCACTTTTTAAAACAGTAATTATTACTGTTCTCAAACACTTTCATACACCAAGCATACTCCTTAAAACAAGAATTCCAAGTGCTTCCACTTTTGTAAACAATAAGTACCTCTTAAGTCAAGAATACAGTGTTTTCAAACACTTTTCTCCACAATGCGTAGCTTTTTAAAGCATGAAGACGAGAGTTTCAGACAGAGTTAGCTATTCGTGTTTATGAATATATTGTTTATATGTTATCATGCTTTATCTATTGGTAAGATGATCTGCACTTTGAAGAAATACATAGGTTAACCCAGTGTGTGGAAAGCTGTTAACTTCTGTGAAATACTGAGATATCATTTCATTCACTTGGGGAGCTTGCTGGAGCATTTATCACACAATTAGGATATGTATCATTTAGTAATTATAACTGTGGTGAAGCAGTTTACTGAAACCCAATGCAATAAGAATGAATCCTAAGTGTTTCCAAATACTTTCCTACACAACTGACAGCTCTGTTAAACGTGAATTGTAAGTGTTTTCAAACACTGCTCTACACAGTTTGCAGCTCTTTAGAAGTGAATTCTAACTGTTTTCAAACACTTTTATACACAGTGTGCAGCAGTTTAGCAGTGAATTCCAAGTGTTTTCTAATGCTTTTTTCCAGTTTTCAGAGTAATGGTCATAAGGATGCTCAAACGTCTCGATAAGAAATTAACTAACGTGTAAGAATCAAGATAAAATAAAGAATGATATAGCTGCAATAAAGAACACAATGGAAAGTTTCAACAGTAGATTAGAAGAAGCTGAGGACCTAATCAGCGATTTAGAAAACAAGGTAGAAAAAAGCATCCAAGCAGAGCAGCAACTGGAAAAAAATTAAAAAGCAGGAGGAGAATCAGAGGGAGCTTTGGGATAACGTGAAATGAAGCAACATTTGTATAATAGGAGTGCCAGAAGAAGAGGAAGCTGAGCAAGGAAAAGAAAACCCAACCACTGGGTTAGGGCAAGCTGCAGCAATCTTAAGAACGAAGAACAAAGTTGGAGGAAACACAACTTTTTGAGCTGATGCTCAAAACGTTCTGGTACTGGTACAAGAACAGACCTATAGATCAATGGAACAGAAGAGAGACTCCAGAAATGACCCAAGCTGCTACGCTCAATTAGTATTGACAAAGGAGACAAGAACATACATTGGAGTAGAGATAGTCTCTTCAATAGGTGTTGGGAAAATTGGACAGGTACTTACAAAAAAAAAAAAAAAAAAAAGAAAAAAAGAAACCAGACCACCAACTTACACCATTCACAAAGTAAACTCAATATGGATAAAATACTTAAATGTAAGACATGAAACCATAAAAGTCCTAGAAGAAAATATAGGCACCAAAACCTCAGACATCTCTCATAGCAATATGTTTACTTATGCATCTTCTAGGACAATCAAAACTAAGGAAAAAATAAACATGAAAATAAAAAAAACCTTCTGTAACTGCAAAATAAACCACCATCAAAATAATATGTTCTCCCATTACTTGGGAGAACATATTTGCCAATGATACCTCTGATAAAGGGTTAATCTCAAAAAATATATAGGGAACTCATACAACTTAACAAAAGGAAGACAATCCAATTAAAATATAGGCAAAGGACCTAAATAGACATTTCTCCAAAGTGGACATACAGAGAGCCAAGAGACATATGAAAAAATGCTCTGAGAGATGCAAATGAAAACAACAATCAGCTATTCCCTCACACCAATAAATCAACCAACGACAAGTGTTGGCAAGGTTGTAGAGAAACAAAATTAAAAAATAAAAATAAAAAAATAAAAGGGGCATTGGTTTTTCCAAAACACTGCCCGGTCTCTAACGTTTTGTCTTCTCTCTCCATGCCCGCCCCTCCCTTTCCCAACAGGGATGATAGTCTATCTCGGGATGATGTCAGGGGCCTTTGTCCTGGGGGGCCTGGCAGATAAGCTGGGGAGAAAGAGGGTCCTCAGCATGTCTCTGGCCCTCAACGCCTCCTTCGCCTCCATCTCCTCCTTCGTGCAGGGTTACGGCGCCTTCCTCTTCTGCCGACTCATCTCGGGCATCGGGTATGTCGTCTCGGCGCTTCAGCCGGACCCTCCGGGAACAGTGGTCGGCAAACTGCGGCTCGCGAGCCACCTGCGGCTCTTTGGCCCCTTGAAGGTGGCTCTTCCACAAAATACCACGGCCTGGGCGAGACTATTTGGAAAAAGTGGCGTTAGAAGAAGTTTAAGTTTAAAACATGTGGCTCTCCAAAGAAATGTCAATCGTTGTCCTGTTGATATTTGGCTCCGTGGACCCATGAGTTTGCCGACCACTGTCCTGGAACTCCAGCTCTGGGTGGTACCTCCAAAAGACCCCGGGAATGAGTTTTTGTCAGACTTCCAAGACACTGTATTGGAGTTACCCTTAGAAAGTTACCCTCAGTAAAGGTCAGTATAACATGATGCTGTCTCTGTCAGTCTTTCTTTTCTTAAAAAAAAAAAAAAAATCCTTGCCGGGACCGGTTTGGCTCAATGGATAGAGCGTCGGCTTGGGGATTGAAAGGTCCCGGGTTCGATTCCGGTCAAGGGCATGTACCCTGGTTGCGGGCATATCCCCAGTAGGGGGTGTGCAAGAGGCAGCTGATCGATGACTCTCTCTCATCGATGTTTCTGACTCTCTATCTCTCTCCCTTCCTCTCTGTACAAAATCAATAAAATATATTTAAAAAAAAAAAAAAATCCTTGCTGAAACCGGTTTGGCTCAGTGGATAGAGCGTCGGCCTGCGGACTGAAGGGTCCCGGGTTCGATTCTGGTCAAGGGCATGTACCTTGGTTGCGGGCACATCCCCAGTGGGGATGTGCAGGAGGCTGCTGATCGATGTTTCTCTCTCATCGATGTTTCTAACTCTCTGTCCCTCTCCCTTCCTCTCTGTAAAAAATCAATAAAATATATATATTTAAAAAAAAATCCTCACCTGAGGATATTTTTTCTATTGATTTTTAGAGAAAGTGGAAGCGAGAGGGAAAGACAGAGAGAGAAATACCGGTGTGAGTAAAACACATTGATTGGTTGCTTCTGGCACGCATCCAACCGTGTCCTGGGCCAGGGAGGAGCCTGCAACCGAGGTCCATGCTCTTGACTGGACTCCAACCGGGGACCCTTCTATTTGCAGGCTGATGCTCTATCCATTGAGCCAAACCGGCTAGGGCCTCTTCCAGTCTTTCAAATCCACTTGGTTCTTTCACACCAGAGCCTACGGATGGGGTAGAAGTCTCTTGGTTTCCGCTGTGACCATTTTCAGTGTGTGACTTGATTCTTTCCTTCTGGCATCTCCCTCCCCCCGCCTCCCCCCCCTGCAGTATTGGTGGAGCGCTGCCCATTGTGTTTGCCTATTTCTCTGAATTCTTGTCTCGGGAGAAGCGCGGGGAGCACCTCAGTTGGTTGGGTATCTTCTGGATGACTGGGGGCATCTATGCGTCTGCCATGGCTTGGACCATCATTCCGCACTATGGTGAGCGTGCTGGCTTCAATCGCCTGGGGGGGGAGGGGAGGGGCTTGTTACTATGGCACCTGCATCCCAACCACATCTCCTGTCCTCAGCCTAGTTCCCCGTGTCACCCTCCCATTTCCTCTTGGCAGGCTGGGGCTTCAGCATGGGCACCCACTACCACTACCACAGCTGGAGGGTGTTTGTCATCGTCTGCGCGCTGCCCTGCACCGTGTCTTTGGTGGCCCTGAGGTTCATGCCCGAGAGCCCGCGGTTTCTGCTGGAGGTGAGTCAGCTCGCCGGCCCCACGTCAGAATGATGGTGAGACAGCGCCCGGAGCTGGCTGTGCGTCCTCAGCCCCTTAGGCCATCGTCCTCGCTCTGCTGTCTGTGATGGTGGCTTGCCCTGGATTCACGGACTGCCTCGGCAGGGGGCTCAGGAGCTCACCACGCGCTGGGCAAAGGGCGGTGGGGCCTGAGTGGCTTCCGCCCCTCACTCTCTCTGGATCCCGAGAATGAGGCTCTGCAAAGCCACATGACGTTTCTCCCGAGGAGATCTGGGCTGACGCTTGTTGCTTCAGGACTCAGCCATGCAAGAGCGCTCTGCTCCCATAGGCAGCTCCCGGGGTCCTGAGAGACGAGTCCCTGGAGCCTCCCGCCTCGGGGTCTGCTGCGTGCGGTGGTCAGACGTGGCTGGGCTGGCAGAGGGGGCAGTAGGCTCACAGGCTCTTGCGGCCCCGAGTCTGAGTGCACTTGTGGGTGGGCCTCGTCCTTGACTTTCCTTCAGAGTGAAATTTCCCTCTGACCAGGAGACAGATGCAGCAGGGAGAGGGTTTTGTATTTTATTTTGATTTATTTTAAAATATTTTTATTGATTTCAGAGAGGAAGGGAGAGACATAGAAACATCAATGATGAGGGAGAATCACTGATTGGCTGCCTCCTGCATACTCCCTACTGGGGGGGATTTAGCGTGTAATCCAGGCATGTGCTGGAATCGAACCTGGGACCCTTGAGTCCAAAGGCCGACACTCTATTCACGGAGCTACCCTGGTGAGGGCATCTTTGCTTTATCCTGTCAGTGACTAAATGTCCTCCACCCAGGAATCCATTCAACCTTACAGCGCCAGCAGCTGCAGTGCAAAATGATGCTCATACTGAGCATTTACATCTTGAAGGCACAACCTTATAATCCTTCCCCCGTGCGCTGGGGACAGAAACGTGTCCTCATCGTTCACAAGGCCTATGCAGTCGCAAGTTCACATCCTGTCACCTCAAACTCGGGTGTCAGCACTCAGCAGCAAAGGGCTTCTCACCTGTCTTTCCTTGGTTTACCAGATGGGCAAACACGATGAAGCTTGGATGATTCTCAAGCAAGTCCATGACACCAACATGAGAGCTAAGGGGACCCCGGAGAAGGTGTTCACGGTGAGTGGGGGTCACCTATGCCAGCAGCAGGGGCCTTTCTCCCCTTTTCTGGTTTGGTTTGCTGAAAAATGATGTTGACATATAAGCACATCCCAGAAGATTTGTCTATGATGAGTAAGACCCCTGACAGTCTTATCATAATAAGTTCTTTGCATTTTGATGGATGACCTTTTCAGTACCAATGATAATGAAAGACAGAACTAGCTGTGTTCATGAGGGGATAACATAATTGCATGTATTCGCAAATACATGTTACTTAAGAGTTCTCATGAGTATTCTATATGTTGCCTCATAATGTTCATCAGCATGCTTTTTATTTATTTTTAAAAATATATATTTTTATTGATTTTTTTACAGAGAGGGAGGGAGGGGGGAATATATATATATATATATATATATATATATATATATATATATCAATGATGACAGAGAATCATTGATTGGCTGCCTCCTGCACAACCCCCACTGGAGTCTAAGCCTGCAATCCAGGCATGTGCCCTTGACCGGAACTGAACTTGGGACCCCTCAGTCCGCAGGCCACTAAGCCAAACCAGCTAGGGCCATAAGCATGCTTTTTATTTTATCTCATCTGAGGAGATTTTTTTCCATTGATTTTTTTTTTTTTTTTAGAGATTGTGGAAGGGATGGGAGAGGTACAGAGAGAGAAATATAGATGTGAAAGAGATACATCAATTGGTTGCCTCCCACAGGTACCCTGACTGGGCTGGGGATGGAGCCTGCAACCAAGATATGTGCCCTTGACCAGAATCTGCTCTAATCACTGAGCAACACTGGCTAGGGTTGTTCTGTCGTGTTTTTAAAAACTTTCCTATTACTACACACACACACACACACACACACACACACACACACACTCAGACACACACATATACACACACGTATACACACTATTGCATACATGGATTCTAGACTCATGTGGTGTTAATAACCATTGAAGATAGACATGTGAATTTCAAGGTAGGGTCAACCCTCCTGTGGGAAAATCAGATATCCACGGGAATTTAGTGAATTAACTTCAAGGCTTGACTAGGGATACAACTGATTCATTTTTGCCGGCATTAGGACAAATATCCCAAAGCAATGCTGTGCACACCTTTGATTAAGCATCACTGAGCTGCAGGGTCACCATAGACTCCTCGGGCCCTCCATATATTAATAAAGTCCATCCCACGAAGCCGCAAATGGAAAAGTCTGGCCCAAAGTAGGGGTGAGATCCTTGAGCTCATCTTTGCTTTACAGGTTTCCCACATCAAGACCCCCAAGCAAATGGATGAGTTCTTTGAGATCCAAAGCGCAACAGGAACTTGGTACCAGCGCTGCCTGGTCAGATTCAAGACCACGTTCAAGCAGGTACGCCTGGGGACGTGTGGTGGCGGAGAGGCGGGGCTCTGAGGGAAGCTGTAGCCTCAGGGGAGAAAGTCTTGAACATCCCCATCCGCCCAAGACAGTGTGATGGGGAGGGAGCAGCCCTGCATGGGGGCCTTTGGGTCCGAGCCCATGTCCACCTCTCACTTGCTGGGAGTCCTTGAGCCACATACTCTTGACTGGAATCGAACCTGGGACCTTTCAGTCCACAGGCCGATGCTCTAACCACTGAGCGAAACCGGCCAGGGCCCACTCAGTGCGCTTTTGATCACACGCATGGGATATTGTTGTGTTTCCAGGGAAGACGCTGTGGGACTGTTAGAGCGTGAGGCCAGCCAGTGAGAGGAGAAAATGCTATCCTTGGAACACTCACGGGAGATAACATTGCCCATTCTCTCCATGGCTGCCTAGGCCAGTGGTCGGCAAACTCCTGGGTCCACAGAGCCAAATATCCACAGCACAACGATTGACATTTCTTTAGAGAGCCACATTTTTTAAACGTAAACTTTTCTTCCAATGCCTCTTCTTCAACATAGACTCGCCCAGGCCGTGGTATTTTGTGGAAGGAGCCACACTCAAGGGGCCAAAGAGCCACATGTGGCTCGCGAGCCGCGCTTTGCCGACCACGGGCCTAGGCCACTCATCAGGATCCCTTAGAAATGAGTTCTGCTGAGTCCCCGTTCCTGCCTTTAACCCCCGTTGTCTGGTGTGGGTTCCAGGTCTGGGATAACGCTCAGTACTGCCTGCTGGGGCCTTACCGGATGAACACGCTGATTCTGGCCGTGGTCTGGTTCACGATGGCGTTAAGGTATGTTCTTACTCGATGCGCTGATTTCTCTGAGCTTCACGGGCCTCATCTCTAAACTGAGGTTGGTGATTAGGAGTCTGAATAGGACTGGTGCTTTCAGCCACAAATAACAGGCAAGGTGCTCTAGTCGCGTCTATAGTGAAATTATTTACTCCTGTCATCAGAATTCCACAGGGAGGCAGGCCACAGGGGGAATTTCAGCCTCAGGCCAGTTTTGCTGGTGATGGCAGGATATCTGTGCTGCTCTTGGCATTCTGTCCTAAGGTCCCTCTCCCTGAGCCTTGGGTCAGAATGCACGAAGATTCGTGCAAGAATGGGCCTTCCATACTCTGGCTGCCAGTACCGCCTTCACTCTGGCTGGAGCCACCTTTTTATTATAGATTTAATAAAATATATATACCTTATTTTTTTTTTTTTACAGACAACAAGAGAGTTAGAAACATTGATGAGAGAGAATCATCGATCAGCTGCCTCTTGCACAGCCCTTACTGGGATGTGCCCGCAACCAACGTACATGCCCTTGACTGGAATCAAATCTGGGACCCTTCAGTCTGCAGGCTGACGCTCTATCCACTGAGCCAAACTCGTTTCGGCTGGAGCCACCTTTTTGCTCTGGCCTGGAGCTGCCTCTCAGCCTTCCCACGCTGCCCAGAGGCTCAGAGTAGCTGGGTTGGTGCAGAACCCTGCGTTTTGAGTTGAGAGATGCATTTCTTATATGTTATGGAGAGTGGAAGGGACGGGGAGAGACAGAGAGAAACATCGATGTGAGAGAGACACATTGATTGGTTGCCTCTCACAGGCATCCCAACCAGGGATGGGGATCGAGCCTGCAACTAGTTGAGGTGTGTGCCTTTGACTGGAACCGAACCCAGGACCCTTCAGGCTTCGGGCCTACAATCTATCCACTGAGCCAAACCAGTGGGTTGGACTGTTCGTTTCATTTGTCCCAATCTATTGGTATTTTTCACCAGGAATCATGTTGTTTTTCATCAAATGCCTTTTCCGCATCTAGGGAGATAGTAATGAATTTCCCCCCTCAGATCTGTTACTAGGACATGTTATCTGATTAGAGCAACCCATGTCAAACTCGTGACCCACGGGCCGCACGCCTCATTGATTTGGCCCGTGTTAGCCTTTGAGTTTGACATGCATGGATGAGCATTTCTAGTAGCGAATGATAATAATACATTTAAAAGGGGCGTTATCTACCTCAAATTAGAAATGCAGATTCTGCTCACAAGATGATAATATTTGCTCACGTATTTTTGTCTTCTCTGCTCCAGTTACTACGGCCTGACCGTTTGGTTCCCCGACATGATCCGGTACTTCCAAGAGGAAGAATACAAGTCCAAGATGAAGGTGTTTTTTGGCGAGCACGTGTTCGGCGCCACTATCAACTTCACGATGGAAAACCAGATCCACCAGCACGGCAAGCTGGTGAATGACAAGTATGTGAGGGAATCAGGCAGTCCCTGGATCAGCTGATGGTCCAGGGGTCTGTGCTTGGGAGAGAGCCATTGGACAGATAGGAATTCATGGCGGGGGATTTGAGCTCCAAGAATAGGGTGGTCCCACAACTTCCCATGGCTGTCAGAGACCCTCTAATTCCCCGGGAGGCCTTGCCTTTGTCAAATTGGCTCCCAGTCACCCCTTATCACCTCTGGCAGTGGTCGGCAAACTCATTACTCAATAGAGCCAAATATCAATATAGGACGATTGAAATTCCTTTGGAGAGCCAAATTTTTTAAACTTGAACTTCTTCTAACGCTACTTCTTCAACATAGACTCGCCCAGGCCGTGGTATTTTGTGGAAGAGCCACACTCAAGGGGCCAAAGAGCCGAATGTGGCTCGAGAGCCGCAGTTTGCCGACCACTGTCCTAGGCTCCCTGGGCTGAAAATCATATGTTAGCACCTTTGGTTTGTAGTTCTCCCTTTTTATGCTTTTCTGTGGTCTTCATTTTGCTCTCAAGGCTCCTCCTTTCCCCCCGGAGGGATCTCTCAGGAACAAAATGTCTTTCCACAGGTTCACAAAGATGTATTTCAAGCACGTTCTCTTTGAAGACACGTTCTTTGATGAGTGCTATTTTGAAGATGTGACATCCACGGATACCTATTTCAAAAACTGCACCATTGAATCCACCATCTTTTATAACACAGGTAGGAATGGGGGCAGGGCGGGGAAATTGTCATGGGGGTGGACTAGTCTTGACTAAGAACCAAAATAGTCATAAGCTTTAGGAGCAGTAAAGTATTCACAGATACCCATGCCGAGCCTTACAGCGGAGCTATCGTTCCCGCCCCAGGTACCATGCAGGTGCGTTGCACAGTCTTTCCCAAGGCATTTCATTGATCTGCACCCGTCTTATCACATGTGCAATAAGAGTTCTATGCGTTCTTATTTGTGATTAAAATGTGGCCTACTGCCCAAACCGGTTTGGCTCAATGGATAGAGCGTCGGCCTGCGGATTCAAGGGTCCCGGGTTCGATTCCGGTCAAGGGCATATACCTTGGTTGCAGGCACATCCCTAGTGGGGGGTGTGCAGGAGGCAGCTGATCAATGTTCCTCTCTCATCGATGTTTTTAACTTTCTATCCCTCTCCCTTTCTCTCTGTAAAAAGTCAATTAAAAAAACAACAACATATATATATAAATAAATAAACAACATATATATATATATATATATATATATATATATATAAATATAAATATAAAATGTGGCCTACCTTTTCACATGTCCATTTGTTTCCTCCCACATGTGCTTCGACTGGGGCTTGGGATGGAACCTGCAACCCAGGTACCTGCCCTTGACTGGGAATCGAACCCGCGACCTTTCCCTGCACAGGCCAACGCTCTAACCACTGAGTCACACCAGCCGGGCACTGTTTGCATATTCTTAACAGGGGGATCCCTGCAAACACTAAACATCCTCTGTGCTCTCCCATTCATCTCCCTTGCTCTGGCCCCTGCACCCCACCCCGAAAGAAAGCTACTGACCAAATTACCTTTATTTTGAAGAACGTTCAGGTTTCTATATGGGCTCTGGGGTGGATGACTCGCTGGATCAAATTCTTTTGTCCTTGGCTTTTGTAAACTGGGTAGGTAGCCTCAGAGGACCTCCACATGGCTTGAGAGATGAGTATTTACACAAGCCTCTCAGTGAATGCTCCTTTCTTTTTAAAAAAAATATATTTTATTGATTTTTTTACAGAGAAGAAGGGAGAGGAATAGAGAGTCAGAAACATTAATCAGCTGCCTACTGCACAACCCCTACTGGGGATGTGCCTGCAACCACGGTACATGTCCTTGACTGGAATCGAACCTGGGACCCTTCAGTCCACAGGCCAATGCTCTATCCACCGAGCCAAACCAGTCAGAGCGAATGCTCCTTTCATTTGCTCTCCCCGATCAGAGTTGAACAGGTCGTTGCATTTGTAGAGGATTTTCGCTCCATCCACACCTTGGCGAGCGCCACCTTGACTTAGAGACTGTCTGGTGGCCAGAGGCTGGTGCAGGTGGCCCTACTTCTTCCCTGCTCTGCCCTGATTGCCTCTCCCCCATCCCTACTCCACTTTACATGACCCCAAGGTTTCCTTCTCTCCTCAGACCTCTACGAGCATAAGTTCATCGACTGTCGCTTTATCAACTCGACCTTTCTGGAGCAGAAGGAGGGCTGTCACATGGACCTGGAGCAAGACAACGACTTCCTGATCTACCTGGTCAGCTTCCTCGGCAGCCTGTCCGTCCTGCCCGGGAACATCATCTCCGCCCTGCTCATGGACAGGATCGGGAGGCTCAAGATGATCGGTGAGTTGTCAGGGCCAAGGCCGTGACTTCAGGCGTGCGGTGGCATTTTTTTTCTTTCATTTTTTAAAATATATTTTATTGATTTTTTACAGAGAGGAAAGGAGAGAGACAAAGAGCTAGAAACGTCGATGAGAGAGAAACATCGCCCAGCTGCCTCTTGCACACCCCCTACTGGGGATGTGCCCGCAACCAATGTACATGCCCCTGACCGGAATTGAACCCGGGACCTTTCAGTCTACAGACCAATGCTCTACCGCTGAGCCAAACCGGTTTCGGCTCTTTCATTTTCTTAAAAGAAATCTTGCACAGGAAACCACAGAGAAAGAAAGAGAGAGAGAGAAAGAGAGAGAGAGAGAGAGAGAGAGAGAGAGAGAGAGAGAGAGAGAGAGAGAGAAAGAGAGAGAAATATTGATGTGAGAGAGGCATATCAGTTGGTTGCCCCAAGCAGGGCCAGGGATTGAACCTGCAACAGAAATACATGCCCTTGACCTGAAATTGAACCTCAGTGGCCAATGCTCTCATCACTGAGCAAGCAAAATTGGCTTCAGAGAGGAAGGGAGAGGGAGAGAAACATCAGTGATGAGAGAGAATCATTGATCGACTGCCTCTTGCAAAACCCTTACTGGAGATGGAGCCTGCAACCCAGGCATGGGCCCCGACCAGGAATCGAACCAGCGGCTTCCTGGTTCACAGGTTGACCACTGAGCCACACCGGCTGGGCCAGATGGGCCTTTTACTTGAGGTAGCCTATTACTTGAGGATGGGAGATAGGCCAACGGGTGTGGGTAACAATTTCGTCTGAGTCACGGGTTTCACTTTTCTTTGGGCCTGTGCCCTCCCTCCCTCTCTCCACAGGTGGCTCCATGCTGATTTCCGCAGCCTGCTGCTTCTTCCTGTTTTTCGGCAACAGCGAGTCTGCGATGATCGGCTGGCAGTGCCTGTTCTGCGGGGCCAGCATCGCGGCCTGGAACGCTCTGGATGTGGTCACCGTGGAGCTGTACCCCACCACCCAGAGGTCAGTCCCCGCCGGGTTCCTCCTGGGATTGTGTGAACTTTAGCTAGACATCCACCTGCCCCGATCCTGCCTGGGTCCCCCTTGATCTTCCTGGAGCTCATGGACTGGACGTTTCTTAGGGTTTTGAGTTTCCCCTGTGTGGGGGCTGCAGACTGAAAGGTCCCAGGTTCGATTCCGGTCAAGGGCATGTACCTTGGTTGAGGGCACATCCCCAGTAGGGCGTGTGCAGGAGGCAGCTGACTGATGTCTTTCTCTCATCGATGTTTCTAACTCTCTCCCTCTCCCTTCCTCTCTGTAAAAAATCAATACTATGTTAAAAGAAAGAAAGAAAGAAAGAAAGAAAGAAAGAAAGAAAGAAAGAAAGAAAGCAGTCCTACTCATTGAATGAAGTCTAGTTCCTGTCTGTCAGCATGCACTTTCTCCTTCTTTTCCAGGGCAACCGCCTTTGGCATCCTCAACGGGTTATGCAAATTTGGAGCCATTCTGGGAAACACCATCTTCGCTTCCTTTGTTGGGATCACCAAAGTGGTCCCCATCCTTCTGGCCGCCACGTCCCTCGTCGGGGGCGGCCTGATTGCTCTCCGGCTGCCAGAGACCCGAGAGCAGGTGCTGATGTGAACCAGCCGCGGGGAGAGGAGACGTCGGAAGAACCTTTCCGGGGGACCCTCGGGGCATCCACACTTCCTGTCCGCCACCGCCCTGAGGACTTGGGAAGCCCCGGAGGAGATGTTGATTTTGCAACAACGACGACGACCCCTAGTCTAGGACCCATCTCAGCTTTAAGATATTGGTGACTCAGGTGACTGGTTTGGGGTGTCCTGAGCTGCCCTGGTAATCATGGAAGGAGGAGGAACACCCTCCAGGGGGGCTGCGTGCTAAGCAAGAGGTGCAAGGACGCCTTTGCATTTGAAGGTGGATGTGAGCGTGAGGACACTCAAGCTCCTTTGTAAAGTTATTCAGAGCCCCGTGACCTACCATGTTGCCTGGGCAACACGTTAGCGTCATCATATATACATTTTGGGCTCCACGTACAGGATACGTCTATTTTTTTTTTGCATTGAAAAAGAATCACCTATCATATTTTCCATCTGAATATTGGCACAATCACGGGTAAGATACGCCGATATAGAACAACGAATATTTGAGCATTATCTATAGAAACCTGCTCCCTACCCCAATTGTCCTGAGCTTTTCTGGACGATTGGACGATACATTGAAGGACTATATTTATTCCCTTTTTGATTTAGACAAAGAAACCTAACGGGATAGGTAAGCTGTGAACTAACTTTGTACATACTCTCTTTGGGTTTCATTTGCAGAAACGGTATCTGCAAACACTTGCCAGCAATCATAGCCATATTTCGGGAGGACTCGGGGACGGAGGTCCCAGGGTATTGGGTCCAAGGGGATGCAACGCAAGCACAATTTCTTATAGCCATTCTGCTTGCTCGGCAGACCCACACCACACAGTCCGTGCGTGGAATCTAGGCACATCTGTTCGTGTAGGCGGATGCTTGCCTCTCTCACGCAGATCGCTTGTGAAACTCCAGCTCCCTGTTTGCGGTCCTGGCATTTGACTTCGCTGCTTCCCCCAGACCAACATGGGATGTGCTCCGTGGCCTCTGGTGTCTGTGGGTGAGCATCGAACATAGCAGGCAACATGCGGGATGGAGGGAGAAAGGAAGGGTCCCCACAGCGCTCCAAAGTACAAATTCTCCCTGTCCCTTTTCACACCAAGACACGATCCAGATTTGGTCCCGTGGGAAATCTATGCTTTGTGTTTCGGTCCAGGACTTTTTTTTTTTTTTTCATCTCCCACCTCTCTCCAGTTTGCCTCCCTCTTCCCTGGCCCTCCCCACCCCTCCAGGTCTTCACTACTCTATTGCCTGTGTCCATGGGCTATGCCTATAAGTATATAAGTTCTTGGATTTATTCGGTCCAGGACTTTTATTTTATTTTATTTTAAAAAAATATATTTTATTGATTTTTTTTTTTTTACAGAGAGAGGAAGGGAGAGGGATAGAGAGTCAGAAACATTGAGAGAGAAACATCAACCAGCCGCCTCCTGCACACTTCCTACTGGGGATGTGCCTGCAACCAAGGTACATGCCCTTGGCCAGAATCGAACCTGGGACCCTCAGTCCGCAGGCCGATGCTCCATTCGCTGAGCCAAACTGGTCAGGCTGGTCCAGGACTTTTGAAGCAGATGCCATTGACGTGATGGTAGGGAGGGTCATGGATGCCAAATATGTTATCCTTGAGGGCACCAAGGGGACTCCGTCCTGAGACCCAGTTTGGAACATGAATTGGGGGCGGGAGTGGGATGAGGATCGTAGGACAAACAACGTTGGCAGGGGTCAGCAATGGACTACAGAGAAAAGGCTGATGTATGCGTGAGAACTGTCCTGCACGGAGGGGCAGTGAGCTATGGACTTCAGCCGCTGGCTGTGAGCAGCAGCCTGATGAACTCAGGCTTTGAGGTGATAAGCCATACTCTCAGCACTGCAAGCTGCCACTTTCCCGACCAGCAGTCTCCAAAAATCTTAAACCGAGTGATGATGGCTCAGGGTTCGAGAGGCGCTCGGGTCTCACGCCAGCTGAGGGCCATCTTACTGCGGTTCTTTGGAGCGACTGAGGGTCCAGGGCACCTTTCTACCCTCAAGCCGAGATCGGTTTTAATGGTTTTAAAATACTTCCTCTGCTTCTCTTGGGTGCCACCTCTCTGTTTACCTTTATTTTTTTTTCTGTACAGCGAAGACACAGGGACTCTGACTTGCCATCCCGATACTCCCAACTATATACATATGCCACTGTGGGTTAATGTTTCTCCCAGTGCTTTATATTCGTCCCCTAACAGGAGTGCTGTGTCAACTGGGAGAGGCCCAATGTAATATAGCTGTAATATATTTGCCATGTTCTTAGGATGGGAAGTGCAGTGGGTAGCTTCCTACACGAGAGCCGCGTCCACCTGGGACGACCACAGCACTCGTGGCATTGCTCTCCAACAGGATAGCGGGATTGGATGGGCAGCTGGCACACGAGGCATTCACAAGGCCCTCAGAGGCTGCCACCTTAATTCCTCCTTAAGGTGGATTTGTAGGTCTACAATGTGATTGCTTTTTCAATGTTAACGTTGGGGTGGCTGCAATAATTTCGGGGTGAGCTCCCTTGGATGTCCGAGCACTAACTTCTGCACCCTCTTTCCGGCTCCGTATGCCAACCACCTAAACAACCAAGGGCAATTCTCATCGCATCCCTGCGTCTCCCCACGAAGGATTGTCGGGCACGTGCCCACCTCTCAAGTGCTGCCACTGCTGCCGAGACAAATGCTTCTTTCACTACAGTCTCTGCGGCAGGGCGTGGGGAGGGGGATGGCGGGGAAGGTCCAGCATTCCTGTTCTCAGAGAAACGGAATCGTGGAGAATGAAAGGAATGATGCCCAGTTCATGATGAACATCTGTGCCCAGTTCATGATGGACTCGACAACGCCCAGTGTGGGAGTGGTTACCTTTAAGGGTCACCACTGTATTGTGTCACTTCCTGATGCAAGAGTTTCCATCTTTTGTCTCATTGAAAATAATCCGTGCGAGGGGTTGGCTCAACTTGTGGAGTGTTTAGCCCATGGGCCTGAGGTCACGGTCCACAGACCCCCCTCCGTGCCTAAGGTCTTCTGGTACCTCGTGTGCGCTCATTAAAAGATAATAAAAACCGTTGTAAACAAACCTTTAAGCACTGAGGCTAGAGATTCTTTTTCGATTCTGAGGTCTTCTGGGTTCCCACGTTGATAGGATCAGCGGGGAGGAGCATCGAGAATCGTTTCCTTTCACTTTATTTTGCAGATGGGGACCTTGGGAGGTTAAAGGATGTGTCCCAGGTGACATGTAGTCCTAGAAGCGGGTTACAAGGCTTACAGTGATGCTCTCTCTATAACTCGGGGCTAATTCCTCACCGATGTCCTACTACAGCGCCCCCAACAGGGCCTTTGAATAATGAGACAATGTGACCTGCTCTTCCCTTCCACTTCCCTCTTTTCCCTTAGATTGCCAAGGTAAAAAATGGTAACAGCCGCTCGGCCGGTATGGCTCAGTGGTTGAACGCTGTCCTATCCCCCATCAGGACACGTACCCAGGTTGTGGGCTCATTCATTGAAAAAGCTTAAGGTTGGATTTAGATTCTACCAGAATCTAATGCATTTTGAATTTATAATGAATTTATAATGTATTTTGCTTTATGAACACTTGAGGGCAGCAGCTACCTTGCAAATGTGAAACAGGCCGGTACTCTGGAGCTGGTTAGCGGGCTCTTGCAGTTTCAGTCAAGCGAGATGAGGCAGCTTTTGCAAAAACACCCGTGTTCTCTCTCTGTTCTTTAGGATGTGGAGATGATTCCTGAGAATTTGTTGGAGGGTCCAGGGCATCCTTCAACCTATTGTCACATGCTTGGGCCTGAAATAGGGAGACTTTTCTAATCTTTGTTTAGATTCAGCAAATGTTTATTAAATGCACAGGTGGAGATGCCTGGCATCCCGTAGCAGACGGCTGGCATTTGACCCATGCTTGCTTAACGGCCCCTCACCATTTACTAGTACTATTGCTGGGTAATTGCATAGGCACAACACTGGGTGTGCCCTGTGGAGTTTGAATGAATTATGAATTGTGGATAGTGGTGTGTGTGTGTGTGTGTGTGTGCGCGCGGGGAGGTGGTGAGTAGCACAGTGAGGCTTCACGGTTACCATGACTACATCATGAAACTCCCCTGACAACTTGAACCATATACGGCCAAGAAGGGGGTTTGGAAAATCATACCAATGAAAATAGAGGGGGTTACTCATTCCCTAACTGGGAAACAGTATTTCCTTAAATATTACGATCATCTGGGCACATTCTCTTTGAAGATTCCGTACTCCAGATGCATTTTTTTGTCAAACAAAGCAGAGATTCCGTACTCCAGATGCATTTTTTTGTCAAATCTTGTGTAACTAAATATCTTTAAAGATATTTAGTTACACAAGATTTGAGGAGCAGTGACTGAATGTCACAATTCTACGGGAACCTAGGAATTGGCTGTACAGGGGTGTTTGGTTTAGCTGGCACTGTAGGGGTCTCTGGGACCGCATAAGAAAACAGACTCGGCCAGGCCGTGGTATTTTGTGGAAGAGCCACACTCAAGGGGCCAAAGAGCCGCATGTAGCTCGAGAGCCACAGTTTGCCAACTATGGTTCTGGCTCATAGGTTGATGCTCCACCACTGAATTGCATCATCTGGGCCAGGAAAACTGGGGAGGTTTAAGGCCTCCTGGCTGAGCATCAGTTACCTGGGCTGGTGTCCTGTGGGTATCAGAGCATTGCCACCTGCTGAAGGATGGCAGGGAGTAGCTCAGGGCACAAAGCTCTTGAGTGTAAATCCTCGCTTCTCTGAGAAGACAAGCAAACACTCTAGAAAGGCAATAAAGCGCTCCATGTTGTATCAGTGTGACTGTGCCATCTGCAGGTTTCGTCCAGGACAATGACACACAGCATCCAGGTCCAGGTCCTACTCCTCCTCCCCTCACTCCCCAAGTTTCTTCTGTGGTCTAAAATGTTTCAGCCACATGGAGACTGAATGTGTGGCTTTATAAAT